ACTGAAATATCTGGTGAAGTTGCTACACTATCTTGGTTCCTAGGATTATGAATTACATAGGAACGAGAGGTTGCCCCCCGCATGTTTAGCCATAAACGGCTAAATATTGTTTTAAATCTTTCGCGATTAAGTTTTTGCAAAAACCCGGGGTACTACTCATTTTCGTACCCTAACTTGTTCTTCTCAGTTAACTCATTAATGCTTCTAAGGCACTTATATACCATTTACGGCATCGTGAAATCCGCCCTATACAGCGCATTCATTGAATTTGTCTATCCTTGCTGTTATGAGTACCGAGTCATGCATTAAATGTACAAACTTCGTCTCAAATGAAATTGTATGCATTCGTTCTTATGCCTCAAATTAGGGAAATGTAATTTAAACTTTGTGGCTTCGGTCGCAAAACTCAATAAGCTCAAAACGGCTTATCTTGCCTTGCCGCTTTCCTCCTCATCTAAGTGCTCAGTAGCGTGTAGGTTTATTTGAATCCTTAACTCGATATTTAACCAACAGTGCTTTTATGTGTATTCAAGTACCTATGATAAGATAACTGAAAGGGTTAAACGCATGCAATAGGTGACTGCGTTGCCTTGTGCCAGCAAGTGCTGATACGCCAAGTCCCACGGCCGTATTATGTAAGGTCAGTAAATTATTGAGTCATTTCCATCGTTCGGTAAAATTCCTGTCTTGCTTATTCCGTTAGTACGCTTCTCATACGTAGCACACGCGTCTTTCTCCTCATTGATTTGTTTCTCTTGACACATGTTGTTGAAGCTGTCTTTCTTTTACCTTGTAATTATTGTTTCTCTTCCCCTTACCATAAACGGTATCTTCACACCGGAAATATTTCAAAAACCTCTGCCTCATGCAACCTTTCCCCTTCTATAAACCATTTCCTGCTCAAAATGAACTATTTTGCTTTGTTGGTAACTTTAATTTGTTAAGGTTGAGCGCAGTTTCTTCTTTCGTTCTCTTTAATATCTATCTCAACACTAAGTATGTCGACTTTGTACCGTCTGTCCGTTTTCGAACAACATCATTTGTGTTCACTTATAAATTTACACACTCACATTTTGTGGCATTTTGAAAATCATACTGTTTTGAGTTCCTACTGACCCGAGTTATGTTGTATTATTCGTTTGAAATTACGAAACATTTTAATCCAAAACGAAGTAACAACTGTCATGCATATTGTGTTAGTGATGCAGACATGGAGGAGTTCAATCGGTCGTTTTGGCTTTTTATAATCGTTATTCGGACATGTACGACTCCCAGATCGAGACAAATATGCTTCAATATTGAGCTGTTCATTCGGGGTAGACCGCAATTTAATATTGGTGCTCCCGGTCTAAGGGTCCGCCCTCAGTAAACTCTAATCTGGAGTATTCCCGTGGTGTGAAAAAGTGGGTAGCTCTCACCACTCTGGCCAAACTGTAGAAGAAAGATGACATTTGGACCAGACCGACAAAGGCCACCTTTTACCTCAAACGGACATTTCCAATCAGACTTGGCATAACAACCCACCTAAATAGCTGGAACGTCTAATTTTGGCTCACTTTCAAGTCCCTATTTTCAGTTAAAGTATTTTTCTTTTTCTCTGCCTGGTCATGGGTTATGACGGGTCGAATAGGGTTAAAAAGCCGGAAATAATCACAATCTCACTGGCCTTTAGTCCTCCCGAAATGTACTACTTTTCGCTATACGCCTGA